ATAGAGATTGCGCGACTACTTCTTGACAAAGGTGCAGATGTCAACGCTAAAGGAGGCATATATAAAACTGCTCTCCAGGCCGCCGCATTTGAGGGTCATATAGAAATCACGCAACTACTTCTTAACAAAGGCGCCGATGTCAATGCTCAAGGAGGCGAGTATGGAACTGCTCTCCAGGCCGCTGCATCTGGGGGTCACATAGAGATCATGCGACTACTTCTTGACAAAGGCGCGGACGTCAACGCGCAAGGAGGCAGCTACGGGCGGACGCCACTACATCTTGCGGTAGAGGCACGCTCTATACCCGCCGTTGCTCAACTTCTCGAACGAGGCGCTCTAACGAATAAACAAGATTTCGGTGGTGCAACCCCACTTCAGCTTGCAGCTCGAAAGAGGGACTACCAAAATGCGCTACTACTTCTTCCAAGAAGCATTGACAGTCTCTGCTTCGTGAACGCTTCCATGTGGAGGATCCTCTTGCCTGGTTCAGAGCCCCATCTTGAAATGACCAACGGGAAGTCTATGAGTATTGTGAAGAGGACAGAAAACGACTTAAAGAATAGGGGGTATCCGCTTTCTCATCATGTCACGGAGCTGGCTGCAAGGGGCGATGATTTCATGGGGGCGGACATTGCTTCCAGACGTATTTTGTAGGTACTCTTACCCAACTGCTGATACCCCAGCGCTCATAATCAATTGGGGTAGTATTCTTGGCAACGGGGCTCTCTTGTCGTCTTCTTTGACCGGTCCACGTTGCCGTTGGTGGCGTAGAGTGCAACGGCAGGCCCCAGTTGACCAACCTTGGGACCAACGAAGGCAAGAGGTGAACCGAGTATGGAGAGTCCAGTCTAGCACAGCACCCAGTCGAGCGGCCTTGATTCAAATTCCAAAGGAAGATTGTAAGTTTTTTTTACGTCCTATCAACATTGGAGCACCTTCCTAATCAGTCGAAAAGTCTTTGTTGAGTGCTGCTTTACTACCCGTGCAATTACATTGCGTACCTCCGAAAACTGCAAGTGGCCTAGTTTGTCTGATACCTCCGAGTTAGATACACGAGGCTTCGAAAAGACGTATGGTATTCTTTGGATTATGACCAAGCGTCCGAATGCGAAGGCTTCAGAGAGCGCTCTGGAATCAAGAACATTTTTTAGCACAGCTGAATACGCACAATTACCGCCGTGCGCCACGGACCTTTTCGCTCCGCTGGTTCAGCAGCTCCTCGAAGAGTGGCGTCAGACCTTCCAGACAGCGGAAAGTCGTTTGGCAATGAAGGTGAGGAAAACCTGGTTCCTGATGAGGCTTCAGTTAACCAACACGCACAGCGCACGGAGTTGCTGAGGGCGAATGGGAGAAACCCCTGCCTAATCCGAGACTTGCTGGGCGATGCCCAACTGTGGGGTCTGTTAGAAAGGACCTATAACAGGCAAATAACGGAGCTGGTTGCATTTCAGGACAGCTATAGAAGTCAATCGTGGACTGTGCTTCGTGAGAACGACTCTACAAGTAATGAACAGGCAAATGATGATTTGGAGTCCTTCCAGGATGAGGTAAACAATCTGGCAAGGGAATGTCGGCATGGGTTGAAGAGTTTAACGGATACTTCCCATGATCTCATTCAACTGGTATCGAAAAGTGATTCCTGCTCTACGGGGAGAGTGCTGACTGACTTGTGCTAGGAATTCAATCTTACGTCTATTTCAGAAGCACAGAAATCAACATCGACAAACAAGAGCATGAAGCGCCTTAGCTGGATTACGGTAGGCCATACTTGTTGTCTGTCACTAGAGCGTCAGTTTCTAACGTGTTATGCGTGCAGTTTGTTTTTCTCCCACTTATGTTCATCGCGGTATGGCTCTCAGTTTATGTTTCGCCTTGGGAGATGGATTCCTAATCGGATGCAGAGTATCTTTGGTATGAATATCGACGTCTTAAAGTCCAATCCGTCGTGGTGGTTGTATATTCCCTTTGCTGCGGTCACCACATTATTGACGCTGGCCGTGTGGTTGACTTTCAAGTATAACAGCAATGTTAGTCTGACTAATCCCTTACAGATCTGTCCCCTTGTTAACAAAGTACTTAGCTGGAGGAAAGTATAGAACGTGGATTCAACCGTCTTACAAGACGCCAGCCTCAGGAAGACCTTGAGAATGGTCAGCGACTGAGCGTAACTCCACAGCGAAGAACAGCAATGTTTTCGGCTTTTGGGAAAAAACGATCCTGATATCTTTACATTGATTTATCCGCCACGATTCCAGGGGAGTTAGATAATGGGATAGCGGTGCATCCTCGTTACCTTGCGTTTCTTTTTATAGTTAGCTGCAGCACCTCGGCTGCCAAAAACGGTTATACAGTCATGTTTCGTTGATTTGACTTGGCTAGATTGTGCAATTTTGCTTTAATGAGCTGGTCTCCAATCCGTCGGATACTTTTCGTTTTCATTCTCGGTTGTGTGCAATTATTTTTGGGTTAGTTACACAATGCCATGGTGATTTTGAACCATTCTGCGCAGCCCCGGTGCATAGTTTCGGTGCATATTCTCGATATTAAAGTTAATGTCCCATTTCTGGGCACGGTCTGGCCAATCGAGAGCTATAAAATACCTTTGTTCCAGTAATTCACCAGAAGGTATATGAACTGGAGGCTCAATGTCGCAAAAAGCGTGGGCATGATGGATCCAGTGAGATTTGTTTTGTTTTCTTACTCTCCCCCACCTTCCCCCTCCAAGTTAAACCAAGTCATGGTCTGTAGATAAATCAGATTGTCAACATACCGCGTGTTCATATTATCTTCCGTAAGTGCTCCTTGTCCCGAGAACCGTCATATAACTGCCCCTTGGAGGCAGGCAGAGGAGGAGAGACATGAATCGGCAACACGCCCCACAGTTCTACTTGGATCGAAGCACATCCCTACTTACCTCCATGGAAGGCAGATTCTATCAAGCTATCCGGTTCCACGCCGTAGATGTGCTGCTCTATCTAGCTCGCCATCCATCGGTGGAAGCGATCCAATCAGAATGGATCCAAACAAGCAGTGAACCATATAATATTGCTACAACATGCACATTAAGTCCGTATATGGTCTTCGGATTGCACTATGAGCGTCGACGTAGCTATCAGCAAGTGTTCCGCATCAATGTTTGGTGTCCACCGCTGTTGATCGTAGGATGATATTGAAAGGGATTGTGTGTCTCATTGAAGCTACTGACCCTGCAAAACCCACAATGGTTCAGGATGTGGAGACTGTAAGGGGATAAAGAGGCTCTTGACCATTGCCTTGGCTAGATCACTTCTGCCTCCGAGTAGCTCACCAGCACCATCCTCCTCTAACCCTTCAAGAGCAAGAGCATCCGTATAAAAGATAAACTTGTTAACATCCCGGATGAACTGTTCCTGTAGCTTCCTCAACTGGTTTTCCTTGGCACTCCATTCCCATGTGCTGAGCCGAGCATACACAGAGTAGACTTCCAGATGGAACTTAACCAGAGTGTTGATAGTCTCCGATGTCAGCTTGAAGGCAACCGCATTTGCGTAAGCCATGTCGACGTACACGACATATGCTTCAATATGGATCGTCTGGTACTGCAGTCCCACATCTAGTGCCTTTGGAACCTTTGGAAACATTACGGAGCATAGAGTCCAGATAGCAGTCGGCAAGGACAAGATCTCCTTCAGACGTTTTGTATGCTGCTTGACATTCTTTAGGGGCCCCTTGACCTTGCAGACTCGCTTTAAGGTTTCCGTCAACCAGAGCTCGATACTGGTGCTTAAAATCACAGAAGGCGGGCACCGTGGCGCAAATGGTGCAGCTGAAGAAGGAAGTAACGCAGTTGGCATTATGGACCACTCTCACACTAAGAAATAATGGTAGATAGAGAGATTCCAGATACTCACATTACTATTATGATGGCCAGCATCATCATCTCTTATTATAAGCCCATGACCGCGTCCAGGCATACATACAGCAGGGTTAGCACCTAAGGTAGTAAGACGTCCACTTGATACAGAGGGTAATTCTATAGGGAGTCAGGACTTCAGAGTAGCATACTAGGGAAGGGGCACCATAGCAGTTCACACGTAAAATACAGCTCTGTATGTAATTTTACTCCTTTCCCTAGATACGCTAGTGATAATAGCATGGCTGATGTGATCATCGTGGATCTATAGTAAAAGCAATACGAACAGAAGAATACCACTAGTGACTACCTGCTGCTGGTCTCCGTACATTTAGGATATATTAAGGTGCTCCTGCTTGGTATGCCTAGAGTGAAAGTTCATTCCTCCTTTGCCAACATATAACTCATTGACAAAATGTCATCAAAGGCACTTCCTGATGTGGATTGGAGCCATTCTTTCTGGGGCTGTTGCTCTCCATTTGGATCATGTATGTGTTTGGTATGCCCTTCCGTGATTGGTCCCACTGATGGAGGCAGGTCTATATGGTTGCTGCTGCCCATGCGGCTTATTTGGGAAGGTTCAGTCTCAGCTTAATAACCCAGGATCGAGGCCTTCCAGCTACAATAGAGACGTGAGTTGCCTAGGTGACTTATTTGAAATTGAAACTAATTGTGATGTATCTTAGTGCTGTCTCTTTCTGATATTGTCTTGTTGTGGCTTCCACTGGATCCCCTTAGCTCTCCAAAGGGCTACTATACGAACTAAGCTGCATATAAAAGGTTCTGGTTGTGGGGACTGCTTAAAATCTTTCTGTTGCGCACCTTGTGCTTTAATTCAGCACGAGAAAGAGCTGAAAGGACGCTCAACAAATGGCCTGGGTTACCAACGCCCACCTGGTATGGACTATTCTCGGCAGTAGATAACAACGGAACTACTGTGTTGCTTAGCTGGGGGAATATTTCGCATTTCCGGATTTGGCTTTTTGATCGCTTTTAAGTATTCTTATATTCTTTTATGTTGAATGGATTTTTATGCACAGTATCCTTCTTTCCATATTACGGTAATTACCAGATATACGCACATTTAAGACTTAGGCCGAAGTTTAGCTCTTCCCACTGTTTCCTTTCTCCTTTTCTCCCAACTCTGCGATGGGAAGACGTATTTGCAGCTGATGTCCCTTCCTAAGGACCGCCCTCTTAGGAAGGTTTGTTGAGCTCTGTGTTTGTAAATGAGCGAATAACCCACTCTTCCCATGTGTACACAGCTATGTAGGTCCTAATCTTTTGTTTTGGTAGGAAGGAAAATGACAAGGTTGTGACTGAGCTTGCTCCTGGGTCACCAACATAACACTGGCTGAAGTCGTAATATTGGCCCTCAAATTAGATGGAAGTTAAAACAAATACTAATACGTCTTACAACCTATAAGAGCAAGCCAAAATGTTAAGGGTAGAGGTGCTGCGGCTTCAGCTCGTCAGGAAATCTATTAGGAAAGTTATGGTAATGGTGGTACTGGTGCATAATTCTTTTGCTATATTTCTTCCCTGGTAATCTTCACTATTTTCCGGTTTTACCAGACGAACCCACCAGGTACCCACTGGTGCTGCAAGTAATGGTTGTAATACATCGAAAAATAACAGAAGAGGGTACCTTGTGTAGCAACTACGAGAGGAACACCCCCACCTTATGCCCTCATTACAAGGTGAAGGTAAGATACGGGAAAGTCCAAAAAAGCTCCAATAATAGTAAAAATTACTCAGGTATTGGATTATTTCTGTTCGATACCAGCAATGGAGCGTACTGAAACGGGGGTGAAGCCTGATCGTAAAATACCGATTAATTCCCAGGCGGCCCGCCACTCCCTTACCTAAGACTTGAGCTGTTCATCTATGGTAAGAGCAGTATCAAGAGACTTCTCCAAGTGATTAACCTCTGGATGACGCATGTAACAAAAATAAAGCACTGAGAAACTTAAATAGCATGCTTGCTTGGTATAATACCGCCCGTTAGACTAAAAGGGATACTGCCGGGGCACCATTTTTGGCCTAGCAATCTGAGAAAGAACACATAAACTAGGGCAATTACTGAGAATCCATGAGACTTGATGAGACTCCAAGAGAATTCATCTGAGCCATGCATGTAATCCTACTATAGAAGTAGCAGATGACAGTCTTTGAGAACTTAGTACATCAAACATTTAAAAAATATTCTAATCATGTGATGTACACTTACAGCACAAAGTAAGTAGACTCCCTCAGTGGGGTGCCGCAGTCCAACTTCTTAGCGCATTTTCAAAAAGAAGGAACGCCGTGGCTACGCACTGTATCCAGGATGCGGTCTCCCTTGGCACCAGGGTACAGATTTGTATACTTCTGGATGAGCAAGGTGAAGCTTCGGGAGCAGGTTACTCGTGGAGCAGCGAAGCGATCATCGGGTGGAAAGATCTCAGCTAGCCTATTGCATTAGAGCAATCTAGACTGCTCAGGAATGCCTGACATGGTTGAGAGCCGCGGATTTAAGGTAAGAACAATCCGTCGCAAGAGTATATGCGTAAATTGCGTGAAGACACCATGCTCTTTTGGTCACCTAATCTGAGGAACTCCAAAAGAGCTCAAAAATTTCCGAATTCAATTGTTCGAGTCCGCAGATGGGGAACTTGGAACATAATCACTTTCATAACGACTTCGCTTTCTCGCCTTATCCTCTGCGTCTGCTTCCACCTCTGAGCTGACTTCATCAGGGCTTTCAGATCGACGACGTTTTCGTACTCCCGGAGAGAGGCGGTTCACAGAGCCACTCTGTCGTTCTTGGACTGTCTGTCTTGCCTCGGCATCCGCCAGGAATCTACACAAGTCCTCTGAGGAGATCACAATTTCCTGGTCGAGATTCTGACAGTTCCGAGTCAACTCCTCCGTTGCGAAATCGTTGAGCATCAGTCGCAATGAAGTCTGTTCTACAGGTTGTCCATCATCCGTTCGGAAAGCCTGCAGATAATAAGCAGCTAGTCAGCCTTCATATAAAGGGCCATACATGTTCATTTACCACTCGGCACGCCCGCAATTCTCTAGTCCCGTCCCTTAGCATGATCTGGGGACGCCAAATGGAGAGAGTGGCCTTTCTAGAGGTCCTGTACTCGATGTCTAAGCAGACCACAACGTTGACGCTACCGTCGCTGCATAAGATATAGTCATCGGCTAGTGAATTGATCTGCCGGGCTTTCTGGGCGTAGCAGACCTCAATAATCACCCCTGGAAACTGTGCTAAGCGATGACCAAATGACGCGTCAGGCTCCCGTCTAATATACTTTATCGTTCCATCGTCTGCCTCGTCAGGTAGTTCTAATCGTGAAGACGCGAAGTGTTGAATCTCTTTTATATATCGCGCATCCAGCCTATTACATTGTTCGAACGTTTCAAGTTGTTTCATTATATTGCGGACAACATTTGCGCAGAATATTTCGTGGACAGGGGTAGGCATTCGGATAGCTAGGCGTGAACGGAGGGGATCATAATCATAACTGGCTCTCAGGTGTCAGTATCCAGCAATGAGCGATGAGGTAAAGATTATCACACCGGATTTTGTCATTAACGTAAGATTTGAGATCAGGATCAGAATCAGAATCCAGCGCATGTAATACCCCTTTGTAATCGTCCGGACTGAGAAGATAAACAGCCCAAGGCTTCCCGCCGCAGCCCTTTTTATGCGATCTCAAAACATTGACGACGGACGATACACTAAAAGAAGCCTTTCGATCTGACGGCGGAGGAGTCAACGGAGACTCAGCAGTAGTTCCCGGTGGTGTAATATGATCCGCCATGGAGTGGTTACTCAGAGCATGTCGGGCATTGAATCGGATAGCTGCATGTCATGTTTGCTTGGAAGCTAGGGGTATTTGCTCAAGTCATGTGATTTCAATCAAGTCACATGCCTAGCGCATGCTCCGCTTCCCAGTGTGCTCGGCCCAGTCTACCTTCCCAGTCTCAACAGCAGCTTCAGCACTGGCTAACACTTTCATGATAATCATGCTATTTACTGCTGTTGTTTGAAGTGCGAAGGGCCGGTCGAGCCTCAAGAGTTAATCTTTCTGATGCGGGGAAGCTTGGCGGAACGTCTGCCGGTACCCCAGGTCTATTTAGGACGGCGACCCTCCCCCACCTCTTCAGTGTAAATAAACCCACCCAGACTCCCTTCCATAGAGCACATCATTCCACGAGCCCTCAATATGTCCCAGCATACAGTAGATCCGAGGCCGTCTTCAACGTGCGGCCGAAGGGCCTTGGATGTCCTTACAAAGTAAGCTGGATACAACTTCAGGAATCATATATCTGTTCCTGACAATCCCAGAATACGAGAACTAACGGAGCTCTCTGACCTTACCATCATTTGCAACGGGACCAGTTTCTTGGTACATAAAGCAGTTGTCTGCTCACAGTCACCAGTGCTACACGCTGCCTGTACCGGGGATTTCAAGGCAAGTATTATGACTAGTGTAACCTTGTCAACAGTCTAAATCCTAGCAGGAGGCACGGTCAGGCATGTATGAGATGATGGATGATCCAAGGCATATCGTTGACAAACTTTTGCAATACTTCTACACTGGAGATTATATTGAGATGTCTGAAGAGGATGACAGCGCACACTCAGATATGTCTGCGCTGCAACTTCACGCAAGGGTCTTTGCACTAGCTGACAAGTACGACGTGAAAGACTTGTGTGTCTTATCAGCAGAAAAATACTCCTCCAGGCTTGAGAAAGACTTCAACGTTGTCGACTTTTTAGAGTCCATCCCGGATGTCTATCATTTAACGGCCCCACAAGTTCGAACGTTGAGAGATTTTGTTTTACATTTCGCCCGAAAGAACCTCGAAACCGCTCTGCATCACAGCTGGCATTCTAAGGTCTATGATGATATTACATCCGAAGTTCCAACATTTACGAAAGACTTGCTCGACTCATATGTCACGTCCCCGATATTGGCCGATTGTCACAACTGCGGGCCAACAATGGCCATGCAGGCATTGCAAGTTCGATGCCGGAAGTGCAGCCGAGGAAGGGGGTACTGAGAATGATAAGCTTGTTTAGAGTGTTCTCATCCTCTGGCTGTGACGCTTGATTGAGATTTTATTACAGTACTGGTAACGATAAAGAGTATACGTCAGATGTCGCTGACGAGTCCGTCCTCAGGATAGTTTTTCTATTACCAGGTTCTGGGTTGATTTCTGTGATCTCTACTATGAATGGAGACAGGGGAATATGCCCCATTTTTGAGTCCCAAAACAATCGAATAAATTGCATAACTTTGGGTCAAAATTAGTTGCATCTAGTCCATTGTGCAAGATCCTCCGTCAAAATTCGCCTCGATCTTCCAAAACAAGCACCCCTTTCGTGCCAGGAATTTCTAAGATCACCCCGTACCGATGAAAGTCGCTCTTTGTGGCAACGGTCTCTTTGCGTTGGGCGATAAAATTCTGCGGTTGTAGAGCTCTAATCTCTCTGTCATGGAAGAAACAATATTCCGATCGCAAGGATTTGTGCTCAAAGATGAAAAGTTGCTTAATGCGCCTCGCTCTGATTTCCAACCATACACCTCCATGCAGAGGTTGTGTGACATCCACCGTGATGTTGCCAACTTTGATCTCATCATAGCCCCAGCCTTTTTGACGCTGCGTATGTGTATATCCCTCTTTTAAGCAATCGAAGAAGAGCTGTCTCAGTGACTCGCTTGGCACTTCATCTCGCCCAAAGTTTGAGAGAAGTATCATATGGATTCGTCTGTTTCTTCTAGAGGAGCAGACATGGCTAAGTTGAGATCCGATTAAGAGGGGTCTACCACCTAATTCTGTCACTTTATTAAGCCAGTCCTCTTTTGAAAAAATTGTAGACCAAGCGTCTTGAGCTTGTTCACCGGCGTGAGTAAAGATCCAACGTAAAAGCTTGATTGAAACCATTTCCAAAAGAGGTGGAGGACTCGCAGCAAATTCCAGATCTGGTAGTTGCCATGTACAATATGACACTTGCGTCCATGAGAATCCCGCAATATATGCATGTTCTGATAGAGTGTCATTCACTGCAGCGGGTGGACATGTAATTATATTGTATTGACACTGCTGAAATACAGAATATTGCTTAGCATAATGATTAATTTCCGCGATGGGCTAAACTTTCCGGACATGTTACGATATTACAAAGACTAGGTGATGCCTGCCCTCCCCCCAACCCTCTGGTATTTTCGGTCGTACACCCACGCTATCTGCTATATGTGCCTCACCAGCACGCATGCGCGAAACCTGGTGTATTTTACGACACCGCACACCTTGTATTACGGCTATAGACCCACAACACCGTACTGTATAGTACATCTACACAACCCAGATGATCTCTGTCCTCTCAGCTAGATCACATTCCCGATGACGCCTGCACGCCAGAAGTGACGCCTGGCGCGTTTCTTTTGACCTCCCACCAGGCGCCGTTCTAGAAAACTACCAAAGCCTAACTCGGCTGTTCCTCAGCAAATTTATAGGTAGAAAACTTTAGGAATCAGGATTTAGGAAAATTCTTTATCCACAAGAGGATTGCTATAAGCAGAAATAAAACTGCAACTTGCCAACTCATTAAACGATCATACTCGCTTTGACAACACCAGCTACTTTGAGGGCTTGGATGCCGGTGATCCACCTCCGGTGGCGCTGGAATCATGAGCAAGTTAAAATGGACTGCGGACTACAGAATACTTACTTCTGCTGAGAGTCGCATCAATCATGCCCGCGAATCTGTGTATTACTGTCTGGTGAACGGGAAAGAGCAGAAGCCGGATCAAGGCTGCAATTAAATAATATTTCCATTCATATGAGAACCCTGGACTGATGTACTTGTATCATCGTATCATCTGATTTGCCCCCTTCTTCTTGCGCCTGGTGGTATTATCTTTCCATACGCCCACTATGGCGAAAATGAATGTTTCAGGGTGGAGCCTGAAACAGGACATAACAGCCTGTAATTGGTTCAGCAGCTATGGTACATGTGCATAGTGATCAGCTGTAATATTGTGTTAACTCTTACCATGCACAAATCTGCCGTCCTTTGTTGGAATATAGGAAAAGCTACCTCGGACATTTCAGTACGGGATTCTGCTGCGGTACCTTAAAATCACTGGTTATCATCTTTGGTTTATAGCAGCCAAATGTTCCCTCAGTGCTCTTTTCCAATGGTTTTGCTCTCCTTGCTTCTGTACAATGGCTGACGGAACGTCCAAGCTGACGGCTGGTCCCGATAAAAAGTCAGGGATCCGGCATACCAACACCAATCTTACCGTGGAAACGGAATATATGCTCATGGTTTTGGAACTTGAAAACATCCACTGGTGTTATAACTTCTTGTCCAGCTTCGCAAGCTGGGTCTTGTTAGCTGGCTATCTCGTCATCCCTGGAACATTTACTACACTTCAGCAGTCCGAGAACCTCAAATCGGGTCTTCAGGATGGTCGAGCTGAAAAAGCCATTCTCAACACAATCCAAAACCCCCCCTTGGTAGCAATAGCATGCTCCTTCTTAAGCATAGGAGCAAGCATAATGGTCTACCTCTTCTTCAGATGGAGACACAACTACTTCTGGCTGATAAACCGGCTATTTCTGTGGGTTTGATCATCAGTCCATAAGTCTACTTATATCTGGTATTAATCAGCTCTTCATAGGCCAAATCTACTGAACGCGTCCGCTGGACTTCTCACCACACTTATAAATATCTATACTTCAAAGGGAGGCAACTGGTCGATTATGGCCCTGCTGACAGTCATAGCGACGGCGTCATCAGCAACAACGTCTTTAGCTTTGGCCATCTTCTACAAGTTCTGGAAAATCAAGATACTGAAGGAAGACCATGAACGAGAACGCAAAGCTGGTTTGCGAATGGTATATCCTTCAACATTGCAATAATCAGCCAACGCCTACCCTACAATCTGGGATAAAGTACAATACAGGATAATCTGCTTCTAGAGCTCGGCAGACAGGTAGGCACAAGCAGATCAATATAGCATTTACTGGACATACATGAGTGTAGCTCAGCAGGCAGGAATGTAGTTAGCAAAAGAAAATAAAAACTATCTGGACTTTGATTAATAACTATTTTCTGTCTTTTGAGCAGCACTGTGGTGCACTTCATACCTAGGCACCGCAGGTCCACCGCCGGTATCAATCACAGTCACGCTGACGACCAGAATAAGATCAACATCATGTCCGGGCCCCGGGCCGCGTTCCCTTGAGGCGTCGTTGGCAGGCGCGACCCGTGAATCAATGTTGTCGCGACGAGTGGATCCGGCTCGCCACAGCTGCAATCATGCTCCTGACGGTCATCAAGCACTTGCCCGGCCAGCCCTTCCCTCATCCACTCCTGCTCATCGTCCCACAGATCATCGAGCTCCCTTGAGTCAGCGTATGATAATCTGCGGGTTTGCCCATGCGCGTAGATGGTCGCGAGGAGTCCAACGCGTTGGTTGAACACGAACGTCTACATCATCTAGGACGCCTGATCACAAAGAGAGCCCGACGAGGGCAGAGAACATCTCCTCCTTGTCCACGTCGTTGCAACAAGTTGAGAAACCGGTTCTGAGCATCATCGATTTGTACTACATTCTCGCAGATGTGATGCTGCAGCCCGCTTCGCAGCTCACGAGTACAAGATCCCGAAAGGCAACCTGAACGTGCTTGACTGCCCTGTCACTGATCCTGGACAGCTGCAAGCGAATCCAGTCCCTGAACCTCACTTCACATCCATGGGCTCGGACACTGGCGCGTTGTACAGCATGGCCGGAAGATCCTCAAGGTGTCCAAGCTTCTGAGAGCGAGTTCCCATCAGCCTCAAAGACGATACGTTGACTCAAGCCGCCGACTGGGGCCCCTGAGGCCGGATGTGAGTCTGGCCCCAGGTCCAAAGCGATCAGCACCAGGTGGACCCCTCTTTGTAGACTAGTACGTCTGCATGGCTATACCGCAGGACCTTGTTTTTCTGCTCCTCAGCCCCTGACTTGTCCAGCATCTCGTCAGGGCACTCGTAAGCGAATTTTGAGTTTGCCGGTCACTCTCAAGCTATGATAGTGGGTGCACTCAGGATCGTGACGATGCCTATCCTTGAGGGGCTAACACGCGGGTGATGATGGACGCGGTCGTAGGCGTTTTCGGAGCCATCTGCGGGGAGATGCTGGGCAACGTGTTTGCCAGGGACCATCTGCGGTATCCAGTCGTGTGGTGATCTATATCCTGGCTCACGACTGAATTGATCTCCTGGGCCCCGTTCATACCAACGCGAATCCTGGTCCGCCTCTCGCGCTCCCGGCTTCTAAGGCACGGGTCGACCTGAGCCTCCACGGCATACTCCACAATGGGGAAATAAGTCAGTACGTGCCGATAGCTGCAAACTATTCTATGCTTTTGGTTAAAAAGTGCTCACAGCAGCAATTTTCTCCGAGATTGTTGGATTTAAGAGCTACTTAGAGCTCACATATGATTCAAAAACACTCCCTTCGATCGACACTATGACATTCAGAGTTGAATATCATGACGGAACTTGCGGCATACTGTACTGTTCAATAGATATACGCGTCAGATTAACAGAGGTATCAGGCGGTGGATCATCTGCGGGCCATTATCAACACAGCCAAGGATTTGCAGGAAGAGTTCAGGATCAGCCCGAAACATGTGACGCAAATCCCTGTGTGGAAGTAGCTATAACCCATGGGGAAGAGAATTCTCCTCGATTGCACGCGGCTCTTCTCTCACGCGATACTACCTTTATCAAGATAGACGAGCGCGCGGGGGGGTGGTCCCCAGACCTTTTAAGCCAAACTGAATCAACACACGCATCGCGAGCCGGCCAGCCAGCCTCTCCCGAACACCAATCTAGGCGACGATCGAATGAAAAGGGACATAAATAGACCCCGAATGCCCTGACAGCCATCCCCGCGCCGGCACCTCAGAAGTCGCTGCTGCACACACCCGCTCGAATCTGCAGAGGAAGAGGTGGAGCTGAAGCCGTGGAACGCCGCACGGCCGGGAGTGACTAGCAGGGTGCGATAGTGTGTGATAGCGGTTTGTCAGCCGTTGCCTGCTGGGGGCGCTCGGCTCGAGCCATGCCGGCTGGCAGGTACGTCAGACGGCCAGTGCTCAGTATGAGCCGCGCGGTCTCCCGTTTCTCCGTCAAGGCCTCTCAGGTTTCGGAGGGTCCATTCCGTCCTTGTCGCACGCTATCGTATTGGGAGCAGCAGAATAGAATGTGGCCTCTCCGCACGGGCACAGAGAGAGGAGGAGAAGAGGAGGGGGGAGGGGGAAAGAAGGGGGGTGGTTGTTCCCTCGGCCCGGCTGATGGCTGTGAGTGGTTCAGCCCGATCTTCCCGGTACGCATCTGCACCAGAGCACCGCGCTCCACAGAGGTGAGGTCGTCGTAGATAGTGATCAAACGCCTGGAGACCTCGGGGAGGAAGCGCTGGAGGTGCCCGCACCAGACTGCCGCCAAGCTTCATCCATTGCTCTTTGGTATGCTGCTGATCCCAGAGGCCGGCGTACCAGGGGCCCGCTCTGCCCGTCATTGACGCCGTGGAACCAACCTGCCGCTTTCTCGCCTGAGGAGCCGGAGGATCAGCACCACTCCGCCACCGGCACGGTGTGCTAAATGATCCAAACCCAGGCTGGAGGAACAGGAGCAAAAAGAAACTGGGCTGGGGATGGCTGAGCAACATGAGAAAGCAACAGAGCCATAATGAAGTGCCGGTTTCTGCGGCTAGATGTCTCCCGCCAAGGAGGTCAGAAATATGAATGCCGATGTATGCAGGAAAAGGGTCAGTCAACAGTGAAGTACTCCGGAAAAGATACAGAGCCCTACGTGAGGGTGGATTCGACTACCGGAATGTTCAGGATCTGCGCGGCTGCTTTTTTACTGGTAGAGTTCTCAGCTTATATTTCACAAACAGAATAGTAGGCCAGCAGATTCGTGATCGAGGAGTCCTCTCCCTACGCGCAACAGAGTGACCTCCATAATCTGACAGTCCACGAGTTTCCGACTATTGTCATGTGATACCCCGCCATGGATGAGGGGACGACATTGGGCAGTCTCAGCCTGAGGATTTCATCCAGCGCGAAGGAAAAGCCAAATCCAAACAAACGGAAAAATTATCACGGCTATCGCACTCGAACGGAGCAGCACAATCTTGCTCTCAGGGACACTTATCTCGGTTGATCATGGCCCAAAAAGTTGGAGAAAAGGCCATGGGCGGGGAGTGGGAAGAAATATTATCGCATCATATTTTCGAGATAACAGAGGATATGACCATGACATTCCAAGGCGTCTCATGCAATATTCTCGACAAAGACGGGAAACAACTCGACAACTTGGGACGGAAATCTGAGCCTGTGACCCGCGAGGTACAGGCCGGATATCAATGTTTCATAATGAAAGCTAGGGTTCGGTTTGAAAAGCGATAACGTGAGATGTGCCTGTTATCAAATCGTCCGACTCGTCTTCCTCCGACTCACCCTGGAAGGCCTCGACTGTGTCTCCAAGACGCAGCTGTTTTGCGATCTTCCACGCTCTTTTGTATTCAATCCTCGCAATGAACAGCCCATCTGCCCTTTCAGTCGGAAGGTATATCGCAACAGAATTTGTCACATTGTACCCTCCTGTCGTTGTTTCCTCGTTCCATCTCTCGCTAGTCATCACGCCCGTACGGATAGGTTCTGGAAGCTTGTCCGCTCTGGCTCGAGGCATGAAGTTGAATGGGACATAATGGTCCCATGATAGACCATCTGAATACGTTAGCCAGGGAAACAACCAGATTGGGAGAACATACTCAGAACCAGCGGAATGTTTGTTTCGATTGTTTGCGACGCATCTTGGCGCTTGCGTTTTCTTGATGGTTCTCGATGGTGAAGCGGATTTTGGATATCTGAAAACAAGTCAGCACTGTAAACACTGGCTCTTTAAGTTTAATCACCTTGCAGGAATTGTTCGTACGGTGGACAATCTGGTAACTCTTCGTCCCTTATTGTTAGCAAAACCTCCAGTACCTTAGGAGGCCATATCTTGTGGTCACTGGGCTCGATAGTCTCAATGAGGTTGTTGAAAACATCTCCAGCCATTTCCCCTCCAACCCAAGAGCTTGCGGGATAGGAAATTGACCAAAATAGTACCCCATCAGGGTGTAGACTGCGAAGTTGGAGGCATCTCTGGAGGGTAATATTCTTCCGGTTCTTTCTGTCGGTTGAATCGGACTGTAGCATCCTCGGGCCTTTGAAAATAAGTGCAATGTTTCTTCGGAACACCGAAAGCCTTGTTTGCACTTTTCCAATCGCCAGATCTGTTTGATACTGTTCTGCTCCTTGCCTGATTTTCTCGCTCTCTTTCCACGCCTGCTCCGTTCTTGACACCTTGGATGATTGAATACCTTGCTGAAGACGTGAGGCAACTGTGACCAGTCTCAGGCTTAGATCAGTCATCTGAGCCCATTGCTCGCTTAATGGAGCAACTTTGCTTATTTTCTGCTCCACTCCCTCAGCCTTCTTCACTAAAGAAATTAGCTGCGAAATTAAAATACTAGCACCCTTCATGGTGAGATTCCCAATGCTCTGAAGCACAAAGTTTAAGGAGGAGTAGATTCCTAGAATTTGGTAGGAGAGGGTAGCCGCAGAATCTAGGACCGAATAACCTAACAGACTTCTAGGACGCGCGTGGTCCTAGATTTCGGCGTCAGACGATTTCTGCGCGATGCCCGAATTTTGCAGGGATACCTCTGTTAGTGGACGAATGACAATCCTGCGGTTACGCCGGCAGCAATGCTAGTAGTCTGTACTTTTGCATATGCATAAGGCGTCACATTATGGGGTAGTTCGCGATAACCGCGCCAAAAGATGGCTTAACCTTAACTGATGGCCACGGCAGTGTCCAAGTCGGCTAGATTTCTCGGACTCGTCGTCACCTGAGTTTCGGCGATAAAAGATTTGCAAAAGTCCGCCCAGGGACGTAATTGCGAGGAGCGAATCATAAGCATTCACGGCATCCTGAGGCAATTTACCTTTGTAGCCCCAGTGCCTCGCTCTTACTACGCCATCTCCAGTTGATATACTATGATACCTTCAGAATTGAATCGTCCACGGGCCGCATAATTATGGATGCTGCTACATTAATTGCTCTATTTGACTTTTGTCAGGTTATTTATCCAACGAATGCCCACCATTGCATCACCTGTTAACCATTATTGAAGTTGACTTTGACTTTTGTTGAGTACATAACTCTGGGCTCATAAGGTCCATTCAACTTAAGAATGAGTAGTAAGTGGATTGTGCTCCTCTTTTTTTTTTTTTTTTTTTTTTTTTCACACTTGAGGCTTATAGCTTTTATAGACGAAACGAGCCCTAGCTCATCCAGAGCTGCGACACCTGCTTCAACACTTCCACCAGCTGAGATACCCGCAACTCAGCAAGATGACAGGTCTCACATAGACCTTTATAGAACTGGAATTTGCCCTGTCCACGACTACCGAAGTTGTAAGTGACCAACAATTAGTGTAGCATACATAATAGCTAACCAGAGACTAGCAACCCTATTCTTTGAGAAGAGGTATCATGATGCTCCATTGGTGACCTTGGCTCCGACAAACCCAGTCCTTCGTCAGCTGTGCAAGCGCCTGTTTCCAGGCTGTGAGGATGACCTCACTTATGAGCAATGCTACTTAGCATTGATGAAAATGAATCGGAGACAGGCTTTAGAAGGAGACCTCGGCAAGGGTATTAAAACAAAAATTGAAGAAGCCTTGACCGATGAGGAGTTCAGGGAGAATACAAACGGGAAATTCGCACGAATTATCGTACGTCTGCAGCAGTGGGTGAAGTATCGGGGCACATATGATGTTGAAGCAGTCCTCGAAGATTTCAGTCCACTGAGTCCAGTTGGTGGACCACTATGGACGATCAAGCTGTCTGCACGAGACTTCCAAGGCTCCTGGAGTTATTCCGGGACAGTTGATGACATCCTTCACTATTTGTCACTCTAGAATCCTGGAGAAGGGCAGTTAGGAGTAATTAGTAATACACGAGGTTTATCTGGCAAGGGGTGCTGAACCCCATTCCTGGATCTTTGAGTTTGCCGGTCACTCTCAAGCTATGATAATGGGTGCACTCAGGGTCGTGACGATGCCTATCCTTGAGGGGCTAACACACAGGTGGTGCTGGACGCGGCCGTAGGCGTTTTCGGAGCCATCCCGAGGTCACCAGGCATTTGATCACTGCGGCAGCTACGACGATTTAGTCCTCCACCATTCTCCGACGATCCAAAGTATTGATGATCATGATGTAAAGGAGATGCCCGACAACGAATGGAGATCTAGCTCGGTGCCAGTACATCTCGGGAGAACCGCCCCATTTTCCATCCAGAAGAGCCAGAGGGTATGGAAGGCGAACGAACATGGAAGTGGACAACCCAGTCATTCATAGCAACGCCGACCAGAATAATCGTGAAGAAATGGAAGAAGTTAATGGCTTCCACAGTGGCTCTGAGCTACGGCAACCCACGTTCAATTCGATCTTGCTGTTACGGCGTGGTAATTCAACCAAGAGTTCATTGTGCATTGTCCAAACCAGAATCATCATCTATTGAACACAAGCTTGTATATCAACTTGGGATTGATTATGAGTAGAAAGTAAAATCCGAGGCGACCTACGGTCGGCGGCGGTTGCACATTCCCTCGGTCAACTCAAGAGGTGTGTCTATACCACTTGAAAGTGAAGCCAAGCTGATCAGGTTCAGCCGAAGAAAGGAAGTCCAGAAGTCCATGTTTCTCTAAGTCCTGACAGAAAGCTTTTTTCTGGTCTTCATCCATGTCGTCGCAGCTATCCCTCATTGATTCTTTGCCATTAGCGACCTCAATTTTGGCGTCACTGGGGCTCTGTCGCAATGACGCCCTCCAGTTACCGAGGCTGCCCCATAACCCACAAACCATGCGACCTATATCCATGCACCTTTGGGTGGTGGTGGTGGTGGAGATCGTTCGGGCGTTAATTTCTTCCTGCTTGGCCCCTTCAGTAAGGAGCGTCTGTGTGTGCGCCGCCAATTCCGCAACCGTGGAATACTTGTTGTGCCAACACTTGCTGATGATATCATCAATAAGCGGATCAACATTGAGCTTCGGGAATTCCATGTTCTGCAGTAAGTCCACGACCTTAGGTCCATGCTCGTTAGGATCCTCGGTGAGGCATTGATCTCCGTAAACCTCAAAGCCGTAATTTATCAGGTAATACAGGGAACCGAGGGCGAACTGCTCTGTTCGAGGGCCTAAGAAGCCGGAAGTTCCACATTGTCCTTGGTCGGTTTCATTGCTGCTGAGTATTCTTCCATATGGGGCTATGCAAGCTTCAAAAATTGTCCCGATTTCTGCGGTACAATCAAAATCGGACAGTTTCAGTCGATCACGATCAAGCAGGATATTTTCAGGTCGTAAATCACCATGAGCGAGGTTGAGCGATTCGAGGAAAGCAACGGCTTGAGCAAGGTCATTCATCCATTCCTTCCGCAAGGGTAGAGGCTCCAATTTTTCCACTTTAGTAACTACCCTAGTCTGCTGGTCCCGAACATGGTTGTTCTGTATCCTGGAGGAAAGTGAGGTATCTAGTGACTCAAGTTAGTAGATATACATGCTAACTGCCAAAAGAGTAGAACCTCTCATATATTCAAGGAAGATGCCAGTGCCTGTGTAGTAGAAACACTGCACCACGGACGGGCAGGGCGGATGTCGCGAGAAGATCTCATAGATCTTGACTTCTTTTTGAAATTGCTCTCTCTCAAACTCTCCAGACTTGGGGACCTTGACAACGATGCGAGGATGTACCTCATAGACGAATGAGATGCCTCCTCTCCAGACCCAGTGCACACCAGGAAATTGGCGTTGGATATCCATGACAAGAATATTATATGAAAAGCGAGATATTGAAGAGCAGAATTAGAAGAGGTGGTGCTTTGGAGAGGTGAGCGAAGAAGCAAAAGGAAAAGGGCAGTTAGGTTGGGGGAAGCAAGGGGTCTAGTCGCCTCATACATTCTGATTGGTTTATTCCGGTCGCTGCCTGATTTGTCAGGCGAAAGCGCTTGTATGCATACTTGAGACAGCTTTACACTCCTCTCTTTTTTTTTTAAAAAAAAAAAAAAAGTGAAATACGAGGGACTGTCACAAGTGTACAAGTGTTACTACAAATTGAATAAAGCCACTTAAGCTACAATCTTTGGCTTTTATCTACATCTTTAGTACTGGGGGTAGTTTCTTGTACTTGGATGAAATTCACTGCAAATGCAAAAGAGAGGTGACGGACAAGATTTTGCAGTAAACAATGACCAGGCAAGCGAGAGCCTGAAGCTGGTCTTAATGAAGGAAGTAACCACCGGTCCCTCTCCTGACCATGGACTATAGACCTATTCCAGCAGCAACCTAAGCCTTCGCCCACTTTCCGTTCCTCTTTACCCAACGACCGCTGTCGATACAATCAGGGCATGGATCTCTTTTGGTTGTCTTGCCCAAGTGTTCGGTTTTCTGAATGTTGCCGCAGCCGTTGCAGCCATTGAATTCCATGATCGTTGGGAGGGAATCAATGCTATGCCCGCATATATGACCAGTCGACTCGATAAGTTTCTGACACATGGTTCTGGAGTTCTTGTGTCAGCTATGGCGAGTTTACCTTGCGATGTTCGACTCACTCAAGGTTTGGATGTGGTATTAAATGTTAGACAAGGAGCCAAATATTGGACGTGCTGTCAGATCAAGAAGGTGACTGCTGCTTATGGAAGGTCGATGCTAGAAGCCGTAGAGGGACGAAGGGAGAATGTAAGAGAATATTTATACATGGAGATGAGGCTGAAAGAAGTCACTTGGACTCTCTTCTGGATCTCTCTCAATAGTCCTCATCATATTATTTGCAAGATTGAGATACCACTTGGTGGGGCGTGGCAGAGTCCTGGATTGGATGCTTCAGGGTATGCAGTGAATCAAAAGCGACTCAGGAAAAGACCCAAAGCTCAAACACCTAATTCAGAGCCCAGAACAAGACTGCTATTCTCCCCGCACGGCGTGCCGAACTTGTTGGCAGAGGGACCTGAGACGGTGTCGTGGTCCCTGCGCTCGAACATACTCCACTCACAGATGACCAACTGGCACCTGCTGGCCAATCGATCAATCCTCTTCAGCTGATTACCTACAGTACCATTGTTGCCTGTGGCCAACTCGGACAACTGCGGCCAACTGTAACCAACTGTTGACGCGTCTTGGCAACTGCGTCCAACTGTTGCCATTAGGACAGGAAAAATGAGGGAATACCGAATGGTTATCGGGGGCATAATCGCGCGGAACTTACGGATACAAAATAGTTACTTAAGGATATAATGATGGAGGGATAAAAGTTACAGAAGATTTTAACACCGAAGGATAAAAGTTACAGAAGAATTATAGTAGTGGAGGACTATAGGAGACATAATAGTTACAGAAGGTTAATAATAATAGAGGGATAAAAGTTACAGAAGAATTATAGTAGTAGAGCACTACAAAAGGGATAAAAGTTACAGAATGTTAATAGCACCGAAGGATAAAAGTTACAGAAGAATTATAGTGGGAGAGCACTACAAAAGGGATAAAATTTACAGAAGGTTGATAGCACTGAAGGGTAAAAGTTACAGAAGAATTATAGTAGTGGAGGACTACAGGACACATAATAGTTACAGAAGGATAAGAATGATGGAGGGATAAAAGTTACAGAAGATTAATAGCACTGAAGGGTAAAAGTTACAGAAGAATTATAGTGGGAGAGCACTACAGGAGGGATAAAAGTTACAGAAGGACTATAGTGGTGGAGGGCTGCAGGAGACTATCAGACTAATAGGTACAGATGATAGGACCCTCACCTCCTAGTTCGCTCCCTAGCCGCATACGCAGTCAGATATAATCTACTAGTGTGCTCCACAAGGCTTGGCATGAACCAGCTAACCCTAACATGTCCAAGGAAGCATTTGGATGCCAACAACTAGGACAATGTATAGGAAATATTTGGCAAAGAAGGGCTCTGTTTCCAATCCGAGGCCCAAGCTCAGCCCAGGCTGCTCTGGGTTATCTTGTGTCAGGAGCCAGCAGTTCTTTAGAAGCCCTGGTAATATCAGTTATAAAATACAAGAAAGTCTAGCTTGTCTTTAGCAATACAATCAGTCAATTTCAAGCTTAGAAACGTCTCTTTCAGTAGGTGAGTGTGACAGTTGCCGGGTCCACATACATGACATGCTGACGATCCTAGATACTGGGAAACATGTCAAACGCAAGTACTACAGAACCCACTACCACTTCGCCATCCTTCGGGATCCAATGCCAAAGGGCAGAGCGCTTCCAACTTGGAACCAGCGGTCGCCGCTTCCACATTCCTGCTGCAACGCTCTTAAGATACACTGAAGGGGTAGTTGCCCTGCTGGAGTATGGGGAACTACTCCGAGCCATTCCATACTTGTGGGGAATTGTGAGGAACGACCGTCCATTACGTCAGATCATGATGGTTACAGAGGAGAAGAGCATGGTTGTCTTATCCTATGAGCGCAGCAAAATCAATCTACAAGAAGAAGTATTACGCATGTCTCGCGTGGGTAGCATGCTTCTGAATCCAGAAAGGAATGTCCAGATATGGTTGCTCAAGGCAACTCTGGCTGGGATAAGGAGGAACTGCCAACAGCTACTTTCCCGCCTAGCAAGGATAGTCCAGCGGTGGCTCTAAATTAATTATCTCCTGTCTCGTGTATGGCACTTGTCACATTATCTGCACGTTGTTGATCATCTGCCTGGATTGTATACCTGTTGTACACTACCGCAGCGGTATTAGAAGCCAGCGAAAGAAATTGTATCTAGGATAAATCCTTGATTGCATCTCGACTTTCCCAGAATTAGGAGTATACTTTAATATTCATTACTAAGTCCAACAACTTGCATTCAACCGCGGTAACCGCTCGTTACGGCCAGAAGTCTTTAAAGGAACTTCTTTCCTGGCTGCAGACGTCGTGTTTTCCAGATTCTCCAGCCTGATTCCTTTCAATACACTGCCCCATCAAGATCTGTATAACACTTGGCAACCTTCTACCATTAAACATGGCCTTTAATGAAGCCGTATATGACTTTCTCTATTGGCTGAAAGCTGTGATTGGCTGTCAAAGTCAGAGTACCACCGCCACCTCTCAGCCAGCGCAGCGAACCTCTGTGACTCAATGCTCACGACCAATGGCCATTGAATCACCAGCTTATATGCCTCCATCTGCCATGGAAGTGCCAGTCAAAGGTATGTCACGCTTTGCCACTAATGATCGCGATGCATCATCCTCGCACACCGCATATTGAGCCCAAAAGCTAACTCAACCGACCATGTTCAAGGTTCCTCGAATAATCTTACTGGTGATGAGCTCCGCCATAAGCCTTCACTTAAAGTGCCAATTACTCCGCCTTCCACACCGGTATCAGACAAGGGGGCGGTATGCTTCGCCACGGTTGCTCTAGAACAACATCCGGGCAGACGTCTAACAGAATACGACCAAGAGCAAATGAGCACTATGCACAAAACGCAAGAAACCTACTCGCGTCAGGGGAATCTTAGTGCAGACACAGAGGCTAGACCTTCGACTGCATCGTCGGTCATTGACTTGAATGATGATCCCCGGTGCACGGACAGGGACTCCTTCCAAAAATCGATGGATGAAGAGTTCCACACAGTCATCGCATACAGACAAGTTATAGTGAGGAAAAATTAGGGATTGGCCAATCAGGTTGGTATAGACTTGAGAAGGAGTGGGAGACTGTCTGGAAGTGTAGTCTGTTATTCCAACTGGCTAGGGAGAGCTTGTTGATGGGAGCTTTACTTTTCCAATATCTGTAAGTAGCGAGGCAAATACGAAGAGACCCTCAATTTCTTCCTAGAATACGGTTGGCCTAGGCTTGATTTCTTTATCACATATGCGGAAGGACTGGGACATAATTAATATGGTCCTGATTCGTCCTTGGACGTCTGGTTGGGGTACCCCTGTAAGTGAATGTAAGAAATCTTCCCGGAGAGGCAATGCATGTGTATCAGACACTTATTCCGCAATTGAATGGTTTGAAGCAGCCTCTTGAAAATGGCCAAAGCACAAGGAAGAAATGCTGAGGGTAGCTTCACCTGGGATTATCGTATATTAGGGAGCATTGTTAACCGAACGTGCCTCAATCAATTGACTCTCGCGCAAGACATGGACGGAATTTGTTATTTCTTTCTAGCGGTTTCTCTCTTCTACGTGATCGTCCTTTGGGGGGTCTTCAGGGGTCGCCTGGAAAGGTTGTTCGAGTTCGCCTTGGAGGTCCTACAACGGAGAGACGGGCATGCACTTTCTTTGTTACTTTGTACATCTGAAGACTAACAGTCATACAGAAATGCTCACTGGAACACATTTATCTGACGCACAGTCACCGCCTACATGATATACAAGTGTTCAAACAGCGCACCGAACCTTGACAACACCGGGTTCCCAGAGCACGTAAGTTCCATAATACAAGAATGGGCCGCTTTGCTAACAAAATCCTAAGCATCCATTACATTCCAAATTTTAATTCACGCAAACGAGAGGGCAATGTAAAAATGAAAATGAGAAGAAAAAGAAAAAAGAACATCCAGAGAGTGCAGGGGGGAAGCCTAATTTCTCAGCGTCAGGACGCAAGCCCAGTTGTATGCGTAATTTTGTTACTGTACTTAGTTCCACTACCTTGCATACGTTATCGTGGATGTATTTGAGAATATGACCCGGAGCAATCCAAGGAAATGGAGAAACCTCGTCGCCCGGGCACGCCCGGCGAAGGCTAGGCTACGCCAGGGTTACTGTATTGTATAAGTGGCACAAGTCCACTATGTCAAAAGCAGACCC